TTCAGGTCGGAAAGGGTACCGACTAGGAGAGAAATGCTCTGGGGTGAGTATGTATCTGTGGAGTTTTTTATTATTATTATTTCTTTATTGAATATTTTTTTCTGCTGGAGAGATTTGTGTGTGTGGTGGTGGTGTTGTCGTCGGGCACTTTTTCCCCTTGTTTTCTTTTTCCCCTTGCTGCTGCGCGTAGCTGCTGGGCTGGGGTCGTTGGTCCCCGTCCCGGGGCTGCGGGCTCTGCTCCTCGCCCCGGCGGACCCCGGTGCGTTCCCCGCGACACAGTTACTTCTGTGAAGTACGGCACGCAGAGCCCGGTTTTGTGCGTTTCCCGAGAGCTACAGCACGCCGTGGAAAGCTTCCTAACCTAGATTGCGTGCTTGCTGCGGCTGGTAAGAAAAACATCCTTTTTTTTTTTTTTTTTTTTGTTGCCGTGGTTGTAAGGAGAGAGAGAGAGGAATGCGCAGGGTGCCAGAGGTGTTTTAGGAGATGTCCTTCATCTGAGCGAAGCAGAAGTGGAGAGAGGTGCTGCACTTCAGGGAGAAATACTTCTCTTCAAGTGTCACCTGCTTCGCGGTTAGGCAAACAGCGCTCATGTTTTCAGCAACAAAGCATTAGGAAGCAGACCCTTTTAGAGGGAGGGAGGATCTCCACGTTATGCTCGGAGATGTAACCGTGGCTGGGTCCTGGTGGGCCAAATCCTGGTAATTACATTTAAAAAGTTAATAAAGGGAGCAAACGCGCTCCTGCTTTGGAGCCGCAGCTGAGGATGCCGTCGGCTCATCTTGCTGTTGTAATACTTCGGGATCAAACTCTGTTTAAAAACAAACAGAAGGGAAGCTGTATGGCTTCGCAGATGTAGCAAATTAATCTTTGTCTGTTATACATGTTTAACTGTTCCCTGTCACTTGGTTTATTTATATCTCTTTATTAAGTTGTACAGCAAATCTAGGAGTTACCGTTTATTTTGCGGTGCCGGGTTATCTTAAAAGGAAACAATTTAAATTGGAACAACTTGTTCTGTACCCCTGTACTGCTCGTTTCAAATTGTTTTATTAACGTTGCTGCCGCTCTTAAAATATTAACGAACGGGAGCTGAGCCACCTGGGAGCAGATTATCCATGCCGCCGAGACGTCGGTTGATAGAGCGTGGGAGATGAGAGCTTAAAGTCCAGGAGCAGGCGAGCGCGTGCCACGGAGAACTGTGGCACCCCCCAAATCCTGCTGGTCGCACCGACTCGGTTGTACCAAGAAGTTGTTAGAAATCAGTATG